TTACTCATTATTAGACTGTTCAGGATTTTTATTTCTTCCTTGTTCACTCTGGGGAAGTTTTATGTTTCTAGGAATTTATCCATTTTCTCTAGGTTTTCTAGTTTGTGTGCATAGAGATGCTCACAGTAGTCTTTGATGAACTTCTGTATTTCTATGGTATCAATTATAATGTCACCTTTATCATTTCTGATTGTGTTTAAATTTATTTAAATTTTTTCTTGATTAGTCTGTCAATTTTGTTTATCTTTTCAAAGAATCAACTTTTTGTTTTGTTGATCATTTGTATCTTTTTTTTTGAGTTGGCATCTCACTCTGTCACCCAGACTGGAGGGCAGTGGCCGCTCCCGGCCTCAACCCACTGGGCTCTGGTGATCCTTCAGCCTCAGCCTTCCAAGTAGCTGGAACTACAGGTGTGCGCTACCACGCCCGACTAATTTTTGATTTATTGTAGAGATGAGATCTCGCCAAGTTGCCCAGGTGGGTCTCGAATCTGCGGGCTCAGGCAATCCACTCACCTCAGCCTCCCAAGGCACAGGATTACAAGCTGAGCCACCGAGCCCGGCTCATTTGTATCATTTTTATTGGCCTCAATCCATTTAGTTCTTCTTTAATCTTTGTTATTTCTTTTTTACTGTTAACTTCAGGTTATTTTGTTCCTGTTCTTCTAGTTGCTTGAGGTGTGATATGCGGTTGTTAAGTTAGAATCTTTCTATCTTTTTGATATAGGCACTTTATGCCATAAATTTTCTTTTTAATATGGCTTTGGCTGCCTCTCAAAGATTGTGTATGTAGTACCTCTATTTTCATTAGTTTCCACTTTTAAAATTTCTGCCTTGATTTCCTCATTTACCCAAAGATCATTCAGGAGCAAGTTGTTAAGTTTTCACATATTTGTATAGTTTTGAGACTTCCTCTTGGTAATGATTTTTAATTTTATTCCACTGTAAAATTGGTATAATTTTAATTATTTGTAATTTATTGAGATTGGATTTATGGCTAAGCATATGGTCTATTTTGGAGAATGTTCCATGTGAAAGCAAGAAATATATATAGCCGGGCTCAGTGACTCACCCTGTAATCCCGTGCTTTGGGAGGCTGAGGTGAGTGGATTGTCTGAGCCTGCAGGTTCGAGACCCGCCTGGGCAACTTGGCGAGACCTCATCTTTACAATAAATAAAATCAGCCGGGCGTGGTAGCGCGCGCCTGTAGTTCCAGCTACTTGGAAGGCTGAGGTGGAAGGATCGCCAGAGCCCAGAAGGTCGAGGCTGCAGTGGCCGGGAGCGGCCACTGCACTCCAGTCTGGGTGACAGAGTGAGACTCCAACTCAAAAAAAAAAAAAGAAAGAAATATATTCTGTGGTTATTGGGTAGAATGTTCTGTAAATGTCTATTAGGTCCATTTGGTCTAGAGTCCAGTGTAAGTACAAAGTTTCTTTGTTGATTTTCTGCCCTGATCATCTTTCCATTGCTGTCAGGGGGATGTCAAAGTCTCCCACTATTATAATAGGGTTGTTTATCTTTTTTCTTAGATCAAGTAGTATTTGTCTTATGAATCTGGATTCTCCAGTGTCAGGTGCATATATATTTAGGATATTTATATCTTCTTGTCAAATTGAACCCTTTATCATTATACAACAACCTTGTTGGCCTTTTTTTTTCTGTTTTTGCTTTAAAGTATGTTTCATCTGATATAACTACTCCTGCTTGGTCTTGTTTTCTTTGTGTGCAATATCTTTTTCCATCCCTTTATCCCTTTACTATGAGTCTGTGGCTGTCTTTACCCGTTAAGTGGGTCTCTTGTAGGCTTTTTTTTCCTCCAATTTGCCAGTCTATATCTTTTAAGTGGAACACTTAAGCCATTTACATTCAAGGTTAATATGTGAGATTTTGTTTCTGTCATAATATAGCCTCAATTTGCACTCATATTTTTATTCTATGTTTATGAATTAAATTGGCCTATACTTTTTCTTTTCCATACTGTTCTTGCCAGGTGTTGGTATCAAGGTTATGCTAGCCTCACAAAATGAGTTGGGAAGTTGAATAGCATTTATCCAAAACCTGTGAATGTGACCTTATTTGCAAATAAGGTCTTTGCAAATATTATCAAGTTAAGATGTGGTCATAGTGGATTGGGGTGGGTATATATAAAACCAGGACAATTTGGACACAGACACAGAGGGGCAAAGGGCATGTGAAGACAGAAGCAGAGATTGGAGTGATGCATCAATAAGCCAAGGATTGCCAATAACCACAAGAAGCTAGAAAAGGCAGGGTAGGATTCTTTCCCTAAAAACTTTAGAGAATAGATTTCTGTTTTTTTTCGAGTTGGAGTCTCACTCTGTTGCCCGGACTGGAGTGCAGTGGCACGCTCCTGGCCACCGCAGCCTTGACCTGCTGGGCTCTGGTGATCCTTCCGCCTCAGCCTCCCAAGTAGCCAGAACTACAGGCGCGCTACCACGCCCAGCTAGTTTTTGATGTATCGTAGAGAGGAGGTCTCTCCAAGTTGCCCAGGCAGGTCTTGAACCCGTCGGCTCAGGCAATCTACTTACCTTGGCCTCCCAAAGCGCTGGGATTACAGGCTAAGACACCGAGCCCCGCCAATTTCTGTTGTTTTAAGGCACTTAGTTTGTGGCAATTTGCTATGGTAGTCCCAAGAAACGAATATAAAAAGTGTTTCCTCTTTTGTGATTCTCCAAAATGTTTGTATAAAATTGGAACAATTTTTTCTTTAACTTTACAGTAGAGCTTATCAGTGAAGTCATCTGGGCCTGGAATTTACTTGGTGAAATTTTTTTGTTTTTTGGGTTTTTTTGAGTTGGAGTCTGACTCTGTCACCCAGACTGGAGTGCAGTGGCCGCTCCCGGCCACCGCAGCCTCGACCTGCTGGGCTCCGGCGATCCTTCCGCCTCAGCCTTCCAAGTAGCTGGAACTACAGTTGTGCACTACCACGCCCGGCTAATTTTTGATTTTTATTGTAGAGATGAGGTCTCGCCAAGTTGCCCAGGCGGGTCTCGAACCCGCGGGCTCAGGCTGAAATTTTTTTATTATTGTTTGGATTTCTTTAGTGGTTATAGAACTATTGGGGTTTTTTTTTATTTCTTCTTGAGTCAATTTGGGTAATCTATATTCTTCTATGCATTTATGATATCTTGGTTATCTTTTTTTAGTAGCTATAGTATCTGCAGTAATACCCTTTTTATCATTCCTCATATGTGTTGTTCATGCCTTCTCTTTTTTTCCTGATCAGTATCTCTAGTGGTTTGTCAATTTTATTAGTCTTTTCAAAGAACTAACTTTTGACATTGTTATTCCTCTTGATTCAAATGTTTTCTGTTTCATTAATTTCTCCTCTATTATTTCCTTTCTTCTATTTTATTTGGGTCTATTTTACTGTTGTTTTGTCAGTTCCTTGATATAGATGTTTAGTTCATTATGTTTTAGCCTCTTTTCTTTTCTAACATATACTTTTAATTTATAAATTTCCTGATAAATTTTACATTAGCTGCATTTCTCAGGTTTTATATGTTTCCACTGTTATTCCATTCAAAATTATTTCTGGATTCCATTATGATTTCTGTTTTTACTCAGAGGTTATTGGAAATGAACTTAATTTCCAAACACGAGAATTTCTAGTTATATTTTTGTTACTGATTTCGAACCTGATTGCATTGTCAGATAATGTATCCTAAATAAAATTTATGTACGCAAACTTTTATGATCCAGTGTCTGGTTAATTTTTGTAAATGTTCCAGGTGTATTTCAAAAAGAATGCATATTTTTCCAATTTGTGAGTGCAGTGTTCTATATAAATTCATTTGGTTAAGTTTGATAATCACTAATGCTTTTCTAGAAGAATAATTTTTTTCTGCTGCTGAACTCTAACTACATTCTCCCTTCTATTTCCTTTCTTATAAAGAAATAGCAAGTTCTCCATAGTTTTGGTCCCTCTTTCTATGCCTCAAAGTCACCATCTTGGGCATAGAAAATAAAAATAATAAATTTGTTAGTAAGTCACTTAATAGCTGGTTAATGTTTGGCACATTATTTTAATCTCTTTCAGGCTCAAAATATTTTCTTACCTCTAAATGGGGATTGTAGAATTTACTGAGAATTAAAATATAATGCATGTAAAAATACTACTATTTTCATTATTATTAATAAATAAGTTACATAGTACTAGTATATAACAGGTAAGATAATAGTAATTATTATAATGACTCACATTTTTATATTTACTTATTGCTTCGATTCTGAATCTGTGTCTTTTCAGGCTAACATTAGCATGCATTAAATTCCTCTAGCTATAGCAAGATTGAATATGTCCTCATATTCTTGTGATTTTTGTATTCATTCAGGAAATGAGAAAAAGGTGCCATAAATACTACTGAATAAATTATTTCAGAATAGTTTTGCCACATTTTGCCAATATTTTTGCATCTTCACTCAATATCTCAATAAAGTAGTGCTATGGTCACTGAGATGGGTGACTAACAGAAGAAAAATACATTCTATTATAACACTTTGTGAATTAAACAAAAACACTTACGGAACATCTTCTGTGTGTGGGTACTGTATTACAAACTTTCAGATATGTTGCCTCATTTAATCTCACAAAAAACCCTTGAGATACACATTATTGTTCCTACTTTATAGAAATAATGAGGTTAAATAGAGAAATTTAGATTAAAGGGACTTGCCCAAGCTTATACAGAGAGAAGACATACACAAAGCAGGTATCTATCAGCAGGTGTATACTAACAGCCATCAAGCCTGGAACTAAATGTCCCCCAAAAGTCAATCTAATATTAAAGACACTAAACCCAAAGTCTTCTCTGGGTCTCTCACGTGATTCCTGTCTCTTTCCCCACAATGTTTCTCGTTCTCACTTAAGTCTCCCATATCCACTATCCACACTAAGTTATACTCACAGGGACAACTAATGCAGTATTGACCTCAGTGGCTGCATTCCAGAGATAGCGGGGAGGGTTACACCCCAGTTACCTGCACAGAATTTGCCACCTGCTCCACAAATCACAATGGCTTTTACTGTACGGTCTGTTTCAGCTTTCTGTAGTGCCTCTTTTATTCCATGAAGTACAGACACACTAGAAGAAAATGAAGCAAATTAGTCCAAATTAAATTCCTGCCATCTCACATTTTTTCCTTCCTAACAATAAAAAATTAAACACACACATAATGGATAAAAGCCATAGACACTTATCATTAAAGTCTTCACTAATTTTTTTCAACAAATATGTGTCTACTACAAATTAAGCACTGAACTAATTAAATGAATCAATTTTTAAAAAAAAATTATTTTCTGTACTTTAACTTTGACCACTTAGAATTGGCACAAACTAATTTTTATTTTATTTTATTTTATTTTATTTTTGAGTTGGAGTCTTACTCGGTAGCCCAGACTGGAGTGCAGTGGCCGCTTCCGGCCACCGCAGCCTCGACCTGCTGGGCTCCGGTGATCCTTCCGCCTCAGCCTTCCGAGTAGCCGGAATTACAGGCATACGCTACCACGCCCAGCTGATTTTTTGATTTATTGTAGAGATGAGGTCTCGCTGCCCAGGCGGGTCTCGAACCTGCGGGCTCAGGCAATCCACTCACCTCAGCCTCCCAAAGGCACGGATTACAGGCTGAGCCACCGAGCCCGGCTCACAAACCAATTTTTAATACTATTATTCATCTTCTATGTACAGTGCAAGGAGTTACCTGACAAATGTACACAATTAGTCATATAAGGTTCACTAAGATGAATGCTGCAATAAAGCTACAAAGAACTAAATATAGAAGTTCAGAGAAAGATGAAATTATTTTCAATCCCTGTAGGCAAAATATAAGAAAATTAAAAGAGAAACAGTCTAGGAGATGCAGTAGGGGCTGCTACGTTACCTCAAATGTCTATTCTGCTTCTCCTTCTTGAAAATATTAAAACACCTGGGCTAGATATATGGTTGCCCAAAATTAAACCTACATTTTCTAGCCTGTTTTGCAGTAAGATCTACCGAAGGTACTAAGTTCTGGCCGATGGGATGGAAGCATATTAGGTATATGCGACTTTTAAGCAGAGACCTTAAAGGACTGGGTATGCTTTTCTCTTTTTCTTTTCTCCCTACTCCTGGCAGAAATGCAGATGTAACAACTGGATTAGGAGGAGCCATCTTGGATCAAGAGATAGAAGTTATATATTGAGGATGGCAGAGCAAAAAAAAAAAAAGGCAGAACTGAGGACCCTGATGATCGTGGAACAACCCTACCATTCCAGGACATTGCTATGAGAGAAATTAAATTTTTACTGTTTCATTCACTCTCATCTTGAGTTTTCTGTCACTGACGGCTGAATCTAATCCTAACTAATTTAGGAAGTAAAGGCAAGGTGAGGAAAATATAGGGCATGTCGTAGATTTTGCTAAGTTTCAAAATATGAGGAAGTCAGCCACAAAAGAGATAGCTAAAGCCAAGACTGAAAGAAAAAGAAAAAGAAAAAGGGAAAAAAAAAAGCTGAGGACATATCCTCTGGATGCCTCTTCATTTAAGAAGTGGGAGAGGCTCAGCAGAGTGATTCAGCAACAAGGGAACATGATTCACAAAGGCCAGGAGAGGAAATTTGCCAAGAAACAGGGAATCAATAATGCCAAGTGACAGTGAAGGAGAAAAACCTAGGGTGAGTGGTGAGGAACTGCTTTAAAGAAAAATAGTAGAACTGGATTCCAATCAGTTTTGCCTTGGAATTCTGAGTATTCTGAGTAAAATCTCTGTTCTTTAGTATTTCAGGTGAATAAAATCTTAAAACAAAACAACAAACCTCTGAAAAGGTCATGTTAAGACCAACAACTATGAGTTATAAAACCTCAAGAAGTAAAGGAGATACTTGCCCTTGTATAGGATGATTCCCTTTTATCTACTTTTCACTCTTAACCAAGATGAAATCAAACAAAACCTCCTGCCTTCAAGTGGTTAATTAGAAACCAAATCTGATAATGAATAACAGATTCAGAGCCTCTGTATAATATTGGAAAGTCCAAGAGACATGTACTCCCTTCTGGGTAAATGGTGCTGTTAAAATTAGCTTAATCAGTGCCATTGAGGAGAAGAAACTGGCTTTTTCCATTTCAACCAACCCTTCCTCTTCTATTTATGTTCTTGTTAATTTTTCAAAAATCAAAAACAGGAAAAAACAGAAATGAAAACGACTGCAACATATAGCTTTATTAGATTCGAGCTGAGTGAGACCATACATAGCCTTGTAGCAATGTAAAGGCTGCAGGGCTTAAGAAATTATATTCTGCTGGGTGCAGTGGCTCATGCCTATAATCCCAGCACTTTGCAAGGCTGAGGTGAGAGGATTGCCTGGGTCCATGGGTTCGAGACCAGCCTGGGCAACTTGGTGAGACCTCATCTCTACAATAAATCAAAAAAATTAGCCGGGCATGGTGGTGCGTGCCTGTAGTTCCAGTTACTTGGAAGGCTGAGGTGAAAGGATTGTGTGAGCCCAGTAGGATGAGGTTGCGGTGGCCGTCAACAAGCTACTGCACTCCAGCCTGGACAACAGAGTGAGATTCCAACTCAAAAAAAAAAAAAAAAGAAATTACATTCTCCCCTTAACATTGTCAGGTATGGACAAATGGTGTCTGGAATGAAGACAGCATTTCATGAGTGATGACCAAAACTCTTCAGCTTCTTTGACTATATGAGGTCTTTTTTTGACAGCTTTTTTTTTTTCTTAAATCAAAGGTCATTAAATCAAGTTTGTGGTTTTGTGATTAGCATTTTTTTCCAAGAAACAGAAGAGAAAATAGAATTTATCAAACAATAAAACATGTAAGGTTAGGTTTTGTTTCTTGAAACTTTGTTTTCAGTTATGTATTGGTATGTATGTAAGTCTTGAGTTGCTATGTAAAACATGAGGTGGATTACAGTAGAGAAATGTGAAAGCCATTGTTCTGAAAGACAGGCCTAGTAATCAAGCATGTTCTACATTTATAAAGAGGGTTGGTATTCGTCTGAGTAGAAGGAAACATGGTTGATAAAACAAGCAATGAAGGATTTAAACTCGGGAAAAAATATTCAAACAAGAACCTCTCAGTGGGCAAGGAAAAGATAACTTTCCACATAAAATTAGAACTAGGAAGAGGAAAAGGAAGGAAGGGAGAAAGAGAAGTACAAAGCCAAAAAAAAAAAAAGCCTGTTAAACTGGATGATCATACTGGGATGTACACTCCTACCTAAAAAACAGTTCAGAAGAAGACCAATGCGAGAGGGCAAACAAGCATTTATTCCCAAGTGGAGAAAATCTTGATGAAGCTGAAGAGGATCCTGAGCTGCAGGGCCTGTTGGGTTGGTAGGGATATATAACAGGCCTTCTGACTAATGGGAATTATGGTAGCTAACATCTGATAAATGCCAGTCTGCAATCTCCAACTCATTTGAACCTCACAACTTTTTTATTTTTATTTTTTGAGTTGGAGTCTTACTCCATCACCCAGGCTGGAGTACAGTGGTATGCTCTTGGCCATCCTAGTGTCGACCTGCTGGGCTCTGGCGATCCTTCTGCCTCAGCCTTCCAGGTAGCCGGAATTACAGGCATGCGCTACCACATCTGGCTAATTTTTTATTTATTGTAGAGATGAGGTCTCCCCAAGTTGCCCAGGCTGATCTGGAACCCTCGGGCTCAGGCAATCCGCTTGCCTCGGCCTCCCAAAGTGCTGGAATTACAGGCTGAGCCACAGAGCCCAGCCTGATCCTCACAACTTTATGAGGTAGATGATAATAACATTTCGCCTGCAAAGGAGGGGCAGGGGGTGGGGAGGAAGAAGAGCAGGCTAAATACCAGGATCACTTAAAGTAGTTATCAGAATATATTGCAAGTTATGGGTATTAGACTATGGAACTTTCCCCCTTAAGATCCTGATATCTAGCAGTTCTACAGACCATTCCAAAATTGGCATGGAATGTTATTACTTACATTTATCTTTGTCAAATCAATATAACATATTTTGCTTTTTCTTCTGGGAATGTCAAATTGTGGACATATCAACCTTGTGTGATTTTATTCTGTAACTTTTTGTATTATTAAATGCAATAATTCAAATTGAAATCCAAGTTATAATAGCAATACTAATGATAAAATAAAATCTGATGACAGCAAGATAAAAAAATCCAATAAAATTTGCAGGTCTCCTCATTTCAGTTCTTTTTGCTCCAGCAGCATGTGATAATTTTGACCAAAGATCTTTGTCTATGCTGTGTATATTACTTATAAATTATAGCTTCTACTAATCCTGCTACTACCTGTGGCTAAGTGACTGTTTCCAAAGCTAATGTATATTCCACCCCCCCAGAAATTTGGAAGAAGCAAATCAAATTGCCTTCATTAATTTTCAAAAAGACAGCATTGATCTCACTTTTTTAAAAACAATGCTCTCGGTATACTGCACAAAGAAGATAACCCCAATGGAAAAACAAATGATAAACTGCACAGTTTTTCAGAAAATGCTATTTAATAGGCTTTCTCTGACATGGCCTGTCCTCAGAAGCACTAAGACCCCTGAGGTGTAAACAGGGAAGGAGAAATAATTTTGCATTTCTGAGCCAGAGCACAGTTCTCCTTCACTTACTGCGTTGGCATTAGTGAGAACCTTACTTTTTCCCTCCTTTCTTTTTTTAATGTTAAACCACTGCTTTGCCAGATTCCTAAAGCTTTTAGCCACACGTTGTAAGGGCAGCCTGGACTCGGGGGTTGGGGAGTGAGGTTGGATCAAAGTCCAACACTGAACAAAGTCGAGACCTTTGGAATAGCAAGTCCGCTCAAGAAGCCGAAGTGCAAACAAACAAAAGAGTTCCGCACGAAGTCGGCATGGATAGACGCCGTCTGAATCCAGTTCCCCATCTGTCCGGCTCTCTGCCTCAGTTTCCTCACCAGTAAAACGGGGATTTGAGTTCTCTGCGAAGATTAACCAAGCAAACATAGGTTTCAAAACGAAAAAGGGCCCTGGCACAGGCCCGCTGCTCAATCTGCCGGGGTCTTTTCCAGCGTAAACCAGCAGGGGAGAGTGAAAGCCCCCAGCGCCGGCCGGCAGGTGAAGCCCCGCAAGGTCTCCGGGCTGGAGGGGCCCGAGCCTGTTACCTGAGCACGTTGACCGGCGGGTTTCGGAGGCGGATCAGCGCCAGGCAGTTGTGCAGCCGCGAGTACTCGGCCATGGTTCCTCGGTCGCCGGGGTGGCGTCTGCAGCTCACCGCGGGGCGAAGCCGCTTCTCCGGGCGCGCGGCCTGCCCCGCGAGGAGGGGCCCCGCTGGGCCAATGCGACCGGGGCGCCGCCCCCGCCCGACACGTCCTCCCTCCTGGCCCTCCTCCTTCGCAGAACCCCACCCCCGCTCTGCGACGCTGGTCGTCTTTCCCTTTAAGGCTCCCCGGATGCTCCCACCACAAAGCACAGCAGCAAGGGCCAGGAAAAACGGGTGCAAATGCCGGCCTGTCGAGTTCTGTATCCTCCTGCCAGAGGGGCTGCCTTCTCGGGACGAATTGTGGCTTCCGTGAACCCGCAAGCCCTCATCACAAACGGTATTCATCTACATGATCCTTCTGAACAGGGACAGATGTCTGGGGCCCTGACAGTCACGTGATACGGTACACATCTGGAACACACAGTATACACGCATGTGCATTTCACCTAAATGAGTACGGGACCCCCAAAATCTAAGAAGGCTTGCACGTAATGTTCACCTGTTCCAAAGAAGTCACCCAGAGGTCCAGCGGGGAAAGACATTGGCTAATTAAAATTTATGGAGGCACCGATGGCGCCAGAAGGTCGGTGAAGAATCCAAAAGAATCCTCACCTCAAGCCAGTATAGCAAGCAGTTTTATCACAAGAGCATTCAAGTTCATCAAATTCCTATCCGATGTTTACAGTAACATTGGTTAGGAGTGACAGACCACATTACTTTCGGCTCTGCTTGGCCACCCGCATCCCAAATCCCATGACTCGTTATTGGGAATATGTATACCCTTCAGAGACCAGCCTTGGCCAGAGTCCACTCCCTGAGCGTGGGAGAAACAATCTACTTCCAGACCGTACCCCACAGGTACTAACGTCAACCAAATATTTACATAGCATCCTTTTTTCTTGTCTTACAATCACACAGCAACTAGTGAAACTGGAGTTTCTTATCTGCCCAATTCTTCTCTTTTTTCTTCTTCTGCTATTTCTAAGGATTATAATTTCTAATACTTCATCCATCATCCAAGAATTGAGTACCTATTATGTTCTAGACCGAGACTAGGCTGGAGACTAAAAGTAAACAAGGTCCAGGTCTCTTCCCTCCAAAAATTCAGTCTAGGATAGGACAAGGTTTTTCTAAATGAAATTGGCCTCTCATGTTCCCTACAGTCCATCAGATGGCCAGAAGGCAGTCTGGAAGTTTCAGAGGAAAAAGCAATAGGATAATTTTATTCACTGATGTTTCAGTGAATTTAATAATGTTTAAGGATTACTTTCATAGATATTATTATACTTCCTGAAAATAAAAACAGGCTCCTACTGTGTAACCAGGCCCCCTGAGATTTTCAACACTGCACCATGTTTTAGTGACCAAAATAATGAAAATTCTGATCAGTCTCTTGCTTGCTTGCACTTGTTAATCCCTTGTTTTTTGCCCACAATTCCTTATTCCTATATAATTACAAACTGCTGATGTCCCGTTTCTTTGTTGACCAGGAAGCGATAACCTCAGGGTCACAAAAAAAATTTGCAGAAGACATAAATGCCGTTAACGACATTGTGATCAGCTGTTGATACTGAGAAGGCTAGTTGTTCAAGTAGTTACCTGAGACAAAACAAATACAAACTTTCCCCCCTCGATTCCCTGAAACTCCCCCTCCCTTACTCTCTAAAACTCCCTGCTTTTTCTTTTTGTTAAGATGGATTTGAGAGATCTTGCTGTCTTGGCTTCTTGCTTTGGCCAAATCAAATAAACCTTTCTCAATCTCCAAGTACCTGTGTGTCAGTGTTTGGCATCAACTGCATTTCAGGTAAACGAGCTTGAATTTGGGGTCCTACAACACTACTAGAAAAGTACCCATTGTCTTGAAGCCCTGGTAACAAGTATTCAATCCAGCCAGGCAAGCTGCCTCAATGGACAAAGTCAACCTATGGATGACAACCAATCATAAACAGTCCGATGCACATGCCTCTGAGTGCTATCAACAACAACCTCATTGGCACTGTGGGGACCATAGCCATTGGCCCCCTAGGCTGAAAAATTGCTGGCAGATTACATGAGGCAGACTGAATAATAGAAAAAGGCATAGTAGCATATTTAATGTACATACGGGGGAGTCTTTAGTATGAAGATACAACTTCCCCAGTGTATCCCCTTGAATACCATCTAAAGTTACAGAAACAATGGGGACTTTGGGAGAATGAATGGATCGAGGGGAACAGAGTATGACTTACAGTTTTCTTTGGAAGTTGGATGAACCTGTAAGACAAGTATTATGTTGTGAAATGGTTGGGCCAGGTCTGATTACATTTTTCCTGTTCTTTCTTGCCATAGATAATGAGATAATGGGGAAGGGAAGTGCCGTGTGTGGTAGTGGGCTTGGTATGGCCAGAGTTGCAGATTAGTAAGAAGAATTTACCAAAGCAGTTATGAGTTAAGAAAAGCAGATTTCTTAAATGGAAGATACCTTGTGAGGATGATGTGGCAGAAAGGGGGGTTGGTAGCAGTTAAAGGTATTTCCTTTTGAAAGCCAAGCGGCAAGCTCTAAAGACCTGCCAAGCTGGTTTTGTTTGAAAAAGCCAAATGGCCAGAGACTGATGACTTTCATGGAAATGCAAAAGAGTAACTAATTCACAGACTTATCCAAAACCCCTCTTCTGAAGTTGACGGTTTACAACCCTGCAGTTCCTGGAAACCATTTGTTCTTTGAAAGATCTGATTTTTCTGAACACCACCTTGTAAATTCCAAAGGAGATGTGTAATCGCTCAACACGACCCCCCTCCCTTACCTAAACGAAGGTATAAGACCCTGCTTCTCCCATTCTGCAGGGCTCGATTTGGACTCATTAGCCCCTCGAGCCCACTGGGCTGGCCAGCATAATAAAATGCCACTTCCTATAATAGTCTCGGTGTCACGATCTCTCTGTCTTCCCGCTACAAGGACACAATGGACTAAACATCTGAGAACATCTGCTGCCTGCAAAGAGGCAGGGGTTAGAGAGGTGCTTTTATAAGAGGGGTATCAGGATTCAGTGGACCGGAGAAATTGTCTCTGGAGGGAGTCCACTGATGGAAATTTCCAGAGGTTTGTGAAATGACTGATTGATTGTGGTGTTGTGTTTCTTTAAGATGAGGTTAGTGGTCAGGCTCAGTGGCTCAGCCTGTAATCCCAGCACTTTGGGAGGCCAAGGCGAGTGGATTGCCTGAACCGGCAGTTTTGAGGCCAGCCTGGGCAACTTGGCAAAACTTCATTTCTACAATTAAAAAAAAAATTAGCCAGTCATGGTAGCGCGTGCCTGTAGTTCCAGCTACTTGGAAGGCTGAGGTAGAAGGATCGCCTGAGCTCAACAGGTTGATGCTGGGCTGGTGGTGAGTGTGCCACTGCACTCCAGTCTGGGCGACAGGTGGAACTCTACCCCCCCCAAAAAAGATGAGGTTAGTTAACAGCAATAGTTAACTAAAAACAAATGGTTAACTACTTTTTGTTTACTGCAAATGTTTTATAGCTGGCTAACCAGCTTTTACAGCTCTTTGCTGTTATCAGTAAATATCTTTGTAATATTTATAAAATCTCATCCCGAAATTTTCTTCCTCAGTTTACCCAATTTACCCAAGTGCTGTTGACCTAATCAGGCCTCATATTCCTCCACAGGAAGGAAAGGTAATTACTCTCCTTGGTGAGTCCATGTGGTATATGAAGATAGGGAGAAAGTCTCTTCTAAGGCCTGTTGATTCTTAAAGGTTTTTAATTCAAAATACTTACTATACTCAGGGAGCCATATTTCAGGGTGAATTTCTCTGCACTCCTTCAGCACAATCAACTTCTTTTTTTGAGTTGCAGTCTCACTCTGTCACCCAGACTGGAGTGCAGTGGCACGCTCCCGGCCACTGCAGCCTCGACCTCCTGGGTTCCGGCAATCCTTCCGCCTCAGCCTTCCAAGTAGCTGGAACTACAGGCGCATACTATCACACCCGGCTAATTTTTTGATTTATTGTAGAGATGAGGTCTCGCCAAGTCGTCCAGGCAGGTCTCGAACCTGTAGGCTCAGGCAATCCACTCACCTCAGCCTCCCAAGGTACGGGATTACAGGCTGAGCCACCGAGCCCGGGACAATCAACTTCTTACAGGTGATACCAATCTCTAATGCCTCTGAAAATTTTTGATCCCTAAACTCCACCTTGCCCAAAAACTCTATGTAAGTCTGTTCTGCTTAGAGAGACAGTGCATGGCCCACATAGTTAGTCCTTACTATAATATGCAATACATTCAGTACTTCTAATATGGGACTCTAGGGGAAAAACTCTGCCATTGGCATTATTCTATCAACATTCAACATCTTTACATAGGCCAGGTAGTCAAGACTTCACAGTTCTGAATGACCTGAAATTCCTCCTATAGCAAGGGGAGATAGCAAGCATGGTGTGAAACTACTTTGAGGCAGTTTCTCATCTCTATCCTGAAGGAGTCTGTCACAGTCTTTTTCTCATCTATCCACTTATTTTCAATTGAACACAGAACTTTCTGCCTTGTGTCTTCACCTAAGGTTACAGCTACAGGCTTCTGTGCAGATCTATAAAACTGCTTAGCAGCCGGGCTCGGTGGCTCAGCCTGTAATCCCATGCCTTTGGGAGGCTGAGGTGAGTGGATTGTCTGAGCCCGCGGGTTCGAGACCCACCTGGGCGGCAAGACCTCATCTCTACAATAAATCAAAAAATCAGCTGGGCGTGGTAGCGCATGCCTGTAATTCCGGCTACTTGGAAGGCTGAGGCGGAAGGATTGCCGGAGCCCAGCAGGCGAGGCTGCGGTGGCCGGGAGCGGCCACTGCACTCCAGTATGGGCGACAGAGTGAGACTCCAACTCAAAAAAAAAAACTGCTTAGCAGTAATTTAGGGTTAAAGCTTAAAAGATAAGAGCATGTAAATGCTATAACTTAGCATAATGCCGAAAAGGTAAAAACAAAAAAACAGTGAACTGAATTTCAATGCAAAGACAGAACTTTTGCCTGCTGGACAT